CTATTACATCGTCCATTGGATAAATACATTCTATAATTATTGGTCAATTTAATTTTAATTAGTATTGTATAATTTGTTATAGGTTATGATTGTAATTTTATGATATTTATGAAAACAATACTGTAAACAATAGTAATATTTTGAATATAAGGCAAGTATAAAATCTGTTGATATGTTTATTGATTTACAAATCTATGACTAAAATAATTTTAAATATTATATTTTATAAAAATAAAAACACTTGTTCTTGAAGAGAGATTTACTCTTATTTTTTGCAAAAAAAATACTGACATAAATGATATAAATAATTATAAATAATATTGTATATTAGTAGAAAATGGAACACATATTTTATTTTACTTTCTTTGGTTCTTATTTTTATACAAAATCGTCTTCTTAATTAAAACGTTGACAATAATTAGTTGAATTTTATTTATTTATTTAAAATTATGATCAGTAAATATTATTCGAAACTTTATATTTAGATTCTTCAAATTATTTAATACTTGAATGTAGGTTTAATCCATGTTTTTGGGAAGCAATGAAATATGGAAAACAATGCATTAATCTTATGGTTTCTAATTTAACTATTTTGATTCACAACAAATTTCAAGCATATCATTGACTTGTTCACTTTAGTTGATAATTTATATTATCATATGCATTTAGATACATATATACTTTAAGACACTACAATCAATATAGCTAATCATTTTTAATAGCCGTCAATTAGTTCTGTGTAGATGGAGTATCTATTAACATTTTGATCAGTTAGAATACTTAAGATATTTTTCAAGTCAATATTAAATTATTGGTAGATTGAAAAAATCTGAATGATTTCAGTATGTATTTTCAAACACTTCTTAGAACTAAATGTTTCCATAATTTTCATGTAGCAATTATAATCATTGAGTAAATATAATCAGGGATATATAACGTAATGTGCTAATATTTTTAAATTAAGCATTAATGAGAAAGACTATACTTTCATTAATTTCAATAAATATTATCGTTAAGACAAATGTATTCATTTATAATAGTAAATATGATTGTTATAATTTTTTTAATATACATCAAAAGAAATTTGTTTAAGTATGCATGAAACTTAATTGCTTTTAGACAATATTTGAATGATTAGACAAAATATTATCTTTGATTCTTTCAAAATTATAAAATTGATATAAAATTACAGTATTTTAATATGAACATAGAAATTTATTAATTCTAAAATATCTTACCTATACTTGATTCTTGAATCATTCTTGACATCTGATCAAAATGATCTTGTCTAATTTGTAGGTTGCATTCAGCTGCAGAAGCTAATTGTAAACATGTTTTTACAAATCTGTTTTAAAAAAAATATCAAATTAGTTGAATTATTTGCATTGTGCCGTGGTAAAAAGATTAAAACAGTAGTAAATTAATAAAAAAAATAAAACATACTGATCAATATTGCCAATTTTTTTGAAACATTTGACTAATTCTAAATTTGTTTGTACTATTAATAATTTCCAGTTATCTTGTTCAAATAGTTTTAGAGCTTTAACTAAAAACATAGTTCTTTTTGTTGTATCCCCAGACAATGTGTAAAATTTAGCTAGTTCCAAACCAACTAGACTATGCGCACATCTCATTAATTTGTTATGTTTATAAGTGCTGATTGCCAATTCAGCTATATCCTGAAAAAATAAAATTGTACAGTTATTGATACTATAAAAATTATTATTATTTACACATAAAACATATATTGTAGAATATTTAATAACATACCAAATAATGTTTACTGAATGTTTCGGAAGATGAAAGAGCTGTTTTTAGAGTTGCTACAGATTCAGTAGCTGTAGTCAAATCATGACCACTTTGCATTCCACCACATAAAACTTGTACAGTATGAAGTTGTTCAGAAGTTTGAACACTGCCTGGGAGTAGTCCACAAAGATCTCCTAACTCGTATAACTTAACACAAAATGTAAACAACAAATAAATAAATAATTAAATAAACTACAGAAATGAATGATTATCATTAATATTTACTTTTTTTAATGAATAATATAGAAGCGGAGCGGTGTGATGAGAACATTCTTCTAAATGTTCTGGTTTTTTAACAGATTGACAAATGACTAAAATTTGAGAGCAGCATTGTAAAACCCAACATGCAACTGAGCCTTGTGGACATTCAATTTCTAATGTTTTCAAGTCACTTACTGCCTGATGGAGAAATATTAATGCTCTTTCTGCCACCTATAATTAATATTAATAACTTACTGTGTATGAAAATAAATCAAACACAAAATTAATACGCACAATCCAAGGTTTAGACGCAGCCATCAATAGAGACGCTTGGCGTGAGAACAAATAGCATCTAAATTCAAGAAGTGATAGTTTTTTAATTTTAATGGCTTCCCTTTGTTTACGACTTATATTTTCCATAAATAATACAGCAGACCACCATTCTAAGACAACTTGGAATTCAGTCAGCCATTGAGGAACATCTAAACAAAAAAATAAACATCAATAAATTAAAAGTTAATGTGCTACCTAAATGAGTAATTTTTACTTCCAACTTGAGAATTCAATATAAATTGGGTAAACATGGCATCTAGTTCATCATACTGGACTAAAGCTTCATCATGAATTCCTAGCATTTCTAGGGCAAAAGCCAATTCTTCCTAAATAAATATGATATTTAAAATAATAATTTTGTTAATTAGAAATATGCAAAAATGTTTATTACTTGATACAAAAAATATTTGCAAAAACTCCAAGATGGATCATTTCTCTGTTCTCTATAATTTCTTATGTTATCTTCATATTTTAAAAACAATCTATCAAATGCGGACAAAATTAATAGACGTACATTGGTAATCAATGCCCTCCATGCACTGCTGCCACATCGGACTTCTGATTTTGGAGGATTTATTACAGATAAACAGCTAAATATGAATATGATGTTGCAGTTATTAATGTTAAAAAATTATTAATTAGAATAAATTCAAGACATACCGATCAGCTTTTTTTTCAGCAAAATCACTTTTGATCTTGTCAAAGACAGTTGTTCGAGGCAATAATTTATTATGTTTTCTCAGGTCATAAGTTTCAACTACAACTATTACCCAATCAATAATATTGTGCTTGTTCATTTCATTCATCCATTTATCAATTTCATCTCTTAGTAACGATTTATACACTTCCATATCCTAAGAATACAAAAAATAGTTTAGGTTAAAAAAAAATATTTAACATGAAATGAACCACAATTTAATAAACAGATAATGGATTAAGTATAGGTAGATAAGTGTATATTTTATTAAAAAGGATTAACAGAAAAATAATCTATTGAATGTTTGTATTTAAATTATCCAACAAATTACATACCAAACACTGAGTCCAAAATGTATGCATTATTGGACGACCAACCAAATTACGACTGCCGATTTGTTCAGCCACAGCATCCTTGTTGAACGGGACAAAGTCTGTGGACAAGGTGACCATTTTCATGGGTCTGCCGTACTGGCGCCTCCATTCAATCGGTTCTTGACTAAGCGATTGGCTAAGCACAAGTTTCAAATTTTCAAATAGTTCCTTGTCACCGGCATCTAAAACAGAACAATATCCATTTTGACTTGTTAGAGGCAGAATGCAAGGCTGGAAAATCTAAACAACAGTATATAGTAGCTTGCATGTAATGAGAGGTTTGTGATCGGATATCCGGAGTGCATCATCGCCTTTTGGATTCGCCGTGGTCATTATTCCTCAGACACACAATTCGCGTACAGCATATTATCACCAAGATGTGATGTGCCAGTTCGAATATCAGAATACCAACGAATGCCAACAATCAACTGCACTAAGCAGGTGTTTCTGACGTCGCGGCAGCGAGCAGTACATTGACGTGTACGATAAATACGCCGACGACACGCAACGATCAATTAATTACATTCGACACGACAATTTGTCAATTTGGCCGATTTGTATTTTTTAAATCTTCAGATCATTATCATAGCTCCTAGATACCTATATTTTTATTTTTTATCAGACACCCGATCGCGTTTTGTATCCTTATCAATCAGAGCTGCGATACCAATGATACCACAGTTATTCTATGATGATACCATAGACGTCTAGCTATAATTATTGTTCAATGGCTATTATCTATGTGCGACACAAATCGATCGCTTATTCTTTACGTCTTACGACAACTTTACTACTACTGCTACTGCTACGGAATGCGGATAGTTGCCATTGTTTTGCATTGGACGCTCTGCCGAGATTCACGTGAAATGTGAATAAAATACACTATTAAATTATTACAGAAATAATATAAATAAATAGCATTTATTCTGTATTCATGATAAAAGGGTGGGTCAGTGAGAGAGAAAACTAATTATGCATCTAACATCTTCTTTGAAAAATAAATTTAGATTTTACTGATTTTAAATCTTCGTACCTACTACCTATATTCATACAATCCGATTTTCGTTTTTAATTTCTTTATTGTACTCCTGAATTCTTTGTTATCTATTGAGTTAACAAATAAATGAAAGTTTCTAATGCAAATGGTAATGTTTTCAAACGCACGTTTGCAAGGCGGTCTGTCATCGTGTTCCGTGTAGACCGTGCATTCGTGTTCAGAATTTTTTATTATAGTTATATTATACGACGATGTAAGATACTATATCTTAATATCTTAAATTATGTATTATACCAAATGGATTATTGTTTATGTAACATGGATGTAAAACGATTTAACTAGTCATTAATAGTATGGTGTAAAGTATATTAAGGCATGTTATTAATTAGTAATAACTAATAACTAACAATTACATATTTTGTCATTTAATAATCATTAATCAACAAATTTCACGTTACTAGTTACTACTATTAACTATTTTGAATATTTTCACTGGTATATTGTGGTATCGTGTGAACCACATGGTTTACAAAGATTACAACCGCAGTTCAACTGAACGATACTATACCACTGATGGAGGTGAAATACTTAACCCAGATGATAACCCAGTTCGATGACGACGCACAATTGCACTAAGCCGTGCGTCTGGTATTATTGAGTATTGATGTTTGTATCCATAGAAAATTAGAAAATACATTTAGGTCTCTGCTGCGTACGGTCTATCTACCGACTATTTGACGACCGTATATCGACAACAGAATCTGTCACGAACGGCTGAGAGATGAGTTCGGAACAGTCGTCGAGTTTGGTAATCCCTCAGAAATCCGATTGCATGTACACGGCATGCTACTGGTATGTATATCCGACATACGTATACATGTTGTGTATACTTTATTCGTAATGGCTGACAACAGCCTCCACTATTCCATTTTATTACGAAGAAAGCGAACTGACTCTTCGCATGTCTTATTTATCCGAATCGTTCGCTCCAAACATTTTTTTGGTCAATATTTCAGCGGCGTCTTAGTTCTCAACCGCCATATTTTGTCTTTTTGACACAAGTGCGTAACGATGCAATTTAATTTTAGCGCGTATCGCTTCGTTAGTTTTAATATTGGAGGCACATTAAACTATTATCAAACACAAAGGTTGTTACCTTTGTGATTTGTTGGAGGTTCGTTTTTTCAATTTTAATCGAGTTCTACGCATTTTAAAATTGTATTATCGTATTCATTTATAACTCAATTCAAAATTAAAATATCGAAAAACATGTTTAACAACAGATAATGTTATTACCCGTGGGTTTGATAATAAATCTATTCACTCTATTGTTCAAACTAACCAAACAAAACATGAACTGTGGAGTGCAAGTTAGGTTTGTCTTGGACTTTTTACGACGGATGCAACAAATAGGGATGAGATATGTTTTCTTAAATATCTCCAATGTTCATACGACAACTGAACATAATAATTTCAACTAGACTGATCAGTGCCACTGTTCTACATGTCAAACTTAAATCTACAAACTAAACTTTTTGTTATTTTTATTTTTGCAGCGAAGAAAATATTTGGCAATTAGCAAAACTGATACTAGAATTAAACAAATCCACACCAAATATGAAATGTTACGTTATTTTTGTGTCAAATTATAATAAATGCGTACACCTGTGGAATCAAAACAGTAGCCATAGCGAAGGACTTGTGTTTTGGGTATAAAAATGATGAATCATTTGCTATCACAAAAATTTACTCATACATTTTTTTTTTTGAATAATGGATCAATAGGATTACCATGTGTTTTTGATTGTTCAGCATCTTGATAAAACTCTGGTTTTTGATATGGATACTAGATTACCATTCCCTGTTCCTTTCTCACAATACGCTAAGGAAGCTATTAGAGAGGAATTTAAGGAATCTCATTCTAAACGGTACCTATATTTAATTTAGTAATAATAATATGATATAAATTACAATTATTTTTCCAATATTTAGCTACTTTAAAGTTGTTGATGCTGATGTATTTGTGTCTCAATTTTCATCTGACAGAAACCATATGATAGAACATGATCGTTGGATGTCACCACCACCTCCATATCCTCCAATTTTAAACGAAGGTATAAACATGGTATTTTTTACTACTATTCATTGTTATTATTTGGATTGAAAATTAAAGACTGAATTTATGTATACAAAGTGATATAGAGTGATCTATTTAATTTAAGACACTTATTATAAGTGCCCTAATGATTAAATGAATTACCCTGTACATTGTGAGCCGCTAAAAAATCAATATATCTGCTTAAGTATTTTGTACAATGGATAGCGTGAAATAAATTGCATTTTTTTCAAATGCTAACTTTGCAATGACTTTCATAATAGACTCTTTAATTTTAAAATGTAGACCAAGTCACTAATACACTTACAATCTTAAATTATTCTTCAACATGTTTGAATTTTTTTTTTTAAATCTTACATTTATAAATAAAATTATTGATGTATGACTTGAACGTGTATAATTTTATAATAATAATTAAAGATAATATGGTAAAAATGAATTATTCAATTGTAACGTTGACCTAGTTATAGTGCTTTAAATAATTAAGTGAACATATTAAATACAATAATAATTTAACATTTGATCTATTGACTTTTTACACAAATTATGGAAGAAAAATTGAAATAATTGTTAAATAAATAGTATTAATGTAAAGTACGTTTTAGAATTTGAATGAAACACGGGTATTTAAATTGTTGTGTTTTATCATTACAGATAAAGATCATAATTTGGACAATTTCATTTCAATGGATCCTTCAAATGAATTTGGGCCAGTATTGAACCTTGAGGAGTTTAAAGCTAGATTTTCATAATGATACTCATCATATAATTTGCCGTTTAATAAATGAATCTCATGACGTGTATTCATATAAAGTATTATATCATAATTGAATTTTACTTTCAAGTTTGATTGAAAATTTGCTTTATGGCTTTTATGCTATTATAGTAATTATATTTTAAATTATTAACAAAAAACAAAGTAAGTTATTGTTAGGTTAATTTTAAATTGAGATTTGTATTTGTCTAAATTAAAGAGTTTGAGATTAAAATATACATAATTAAAATATAATGTGTTTACTTATTTAAATAAAAGGCTTCAACAGTGAAGGTTATAAGCCTGGCCTGCGTTTATTTATTATTCTAATAATTATATCTGTACGGTTATAAAATTAGAAAAATAAAAAATTTTACTAATTATTAATTTATATGATACTTAATTATCAAATGTTAACCAATTTTTCAAAATCAAAAAAGAAAATGCGTAGTTTTTTAGCTATCAATCTTTGTTTACCAATGTACATGGTTGATGGTTATGGATGATTTTAAAATAATTAGTATTAATCTATCAACATTCAACATACATAATTTGTAAAATTTGTGTTAAATATAATAAATACCATATTGATCCCATATTACATAATGTATTTTATAATTATGTTAAACCCTTTTTAAGGACTATTACCTTTAGTATAAACATTTTAACAACTGAGACATTACTCAGTCAAATTTTGAATTAGGTAGGTACATCAAAATTATGCATTAATTAATATTTACATTAAAAAAAGGAGTTCTCATTTGAAAAACAAGATTGTATCGCCACAGGACATTTCCTTTATTTGTTGAATATATATAAAATAAGAATAGTATGCAATCTATTATGATCGGTTGTTCAATGGTATATATATGCCTTCCTAAACTGACAACATTCAGAAAGCTCTATTTACAAAAACCGCACACTTATTAGGTATTATAGTGGGTAACTTAGGACCGCAGGTTATTTATTATCTACTTTTACTGGGTTTACCAAAAGGTATGGTAGTAGCACTAAATGTTGTTTTAAATTGTGGTATTCTTAATAATTAGTATTTATTATTTACAATCCAAAATGAAAACATGACTTTTATGTTTACAAAGAAAATACTTAGGTAAATGAAATTGTTATTGTAATGTATAGCTCTTGGTCGTGTCCTACCTAAGAAGAATTATTATGAACCTAAATACCTAATAAATAATAATATTGTTGTGATGAGTAATTAGCTGACAGTTATTTATTTTATATAGTTTTGTTTAATTAAATAATATTTTTAAGTAGTTACCTAGGTATTAAAAAGTACATTATAAAATGGCGGTTTTATGTTCTATAATAAATTTTGGTATTTTGCCACCGTCCCATTCACAATATAAGCTATAGTTAGATAACTACCTACCATATACTAACATCAAATAAACCAGCGATAGGTGTGTAGGTACATGATAAACAAATTTCAACATTTTCTCAAAATTTTGAGCCATTTATAGAATATTTATTTTCCACTCTAGCTTGTTGACATGCTTATTAATTATTAATAATAATAGAATAATATCAAATATAAACAAATTTAATAGGCGAGTAACATAAAAACTTTCATTTGTGTAAATCATAATAGGATTTGCAGTATAACAATATCTTATAATCTAAGAACCTATAACTTTATTTTTAAAAGTAAAATTATGCCAAAGAATTAAAATATAAGTTAAGAAAGCTTACTCTGTTAGATTCCAGGTTTTTAAACGTATTCGAATATAACTCATTAGCTATAATTTCATATAGGTACCTAATATGTACAATTTAAAAAGTATTTGGTACCTCATACCTAAATGGTAACCTTTATATTTTGGTATTTATTTGTTTATTATTGGGTAGTATGAATTTACTTTAAATAGAATCGTTATAAAACTTAATACCCAAGTACCTAGGTGGCTAGCCGGGTAGGTATAAATAAACAATCGTAACTGCGGACAATAAATATGTATCTTATTTATGTACGTATGTAAAAAACATGAAATAGTGTTTTGTAAGGTAAAATTGCTTTAAAAAACCTATTTTTTAAAATATAACTATTAATTATTATTGAAGTTAAGGTAATATATGGAAGTATTATTTTTTCAAAGACTTTCATTATGATTTCTGATTTTCTGAATTCCAAATGTTGTGATCATCCGTTGATTAAAAACGATCAATCCTATACGCGACGACCTATAATATGTAGTATGTAGGTACATAACTTCTCTAAAAATACTGTATACATTCGCATAGGTTGGGTCTTGTGGTTGCGCCGATCGTCATAGCCTTTTCTAGGGGCGCCCGCAGAGGGGCCAGTGGGTGCCATTGTAACCACTAGGATTTTTTTAATGAACCAAAAAAATCAGTGTGTAATAATTTAAATATGTGACTACCTATGTATGTATCACATAAATTTTATTTTGCACCCACTGAGCTGATTTTCTGCGGGCGTCCCTGGCTTTTTCCGAATGTGACTTTCAATGCGATAAGTGCCAATGGTCATGGCTACTACACGGAAAATATATACATATGTAATACTTTGGCACTATGCATCCGGGACACTCGGCTTTACCATTTTCTTGATCACTTTGGTTATGCTGGACCGTTGGTGCTGTATTTTCCGTTTAGGTAAATTCATATCATGTTATTTTATACCTATTTTAGAAATTGTTATTGGGATTTTTAGGCCTAAGTCTGTTTGGATATTATTTATAAATAAAAATAAACAAAAAAATGTATTGTCTTGGTAGGTACTATAATCATAGATGGTGTACATACAGCTATACAGGTGTAAAGTAAGCGATTAAAATAGCAATGACGCGCCGATTTCACTGACATAATAATCATTGACGTTTAGTACTTATGCCAAATTATACATTATGTTTATCTACAACAAAAGTACCTATAGAGTATAGACTCTATATTATATCCAATATAGATATTCTATAATCTATAGACTATAGAGTCTAATGTCTATACTTTTATAGTAAAGATTATACTACTAATTACTATAGTCTGTACAGAGTATATTGGACATTGATGTGTTTTTTCGCGGTGACGATAGCGGATAGATGTCACTGCGAGTATAGCGTGTGTTCCATCAAGGTTACAATAATAATAATTTCCGATTTCGAATGTAGCATGATGTTTTAAGAGCGCTTACAGTCTCACACGCCTGTCGTATGTTTCAATTTCAATTATACATTTATTAAATTATATAATAGTCCGACTAAAAATCGACGTACAACACATAATAAGGTTTAAACTTTTATTGTAAACTCGTTAAAACAGGTACGGATCCAGAGCAAAGATCTGGGGGGGGGGGCACAATTTTTTGTTAATGTAAAATTACAATATTGGAATCACTATCCACCATGAAATAAGATAGTACTATCTTAGTTTGTGCACACCAGAATGATACGTATAACAATATAGTATATTATCAGACATACATGTAATTTGAAATATAGTAATATCAGGATCTGTAGAATATGTTATGAATATAATTTATAATAATTTACAATATGATTGGGAGGGCTGGGCCCCTAGGTCTCTCTGGATCCGTCACTGTTAACATGTATAACATAATATTATATACATTATGTAGGGGAACCCGGGGCAAGACGAGACACTTAGTGTTTAACTTGCTGCAGTATGTTGGATTTTTGAGAAAAATACTCAATTTATGTATCATTTATAAGTCAATGTTCCTTAGTTTTAAAATTGTTCACTTTAAAATATTTAAAAATACTATTGAAATCAAAAAAATTAAATAAAAAAAAAACCGAATTTGTCCCATCTTACCCACACCATGGGGTAAAATGAGACAGATAAATACACATCAGATATATTTTTTCTAATATTTCAACACAGGAACTTATCTATAAGAATTTCACAAAAAAAAACAAATAAATATTGCACAAACATATTTTATTTTAAGCCTGACTTTGGCCATACTGAAATAGACATTTTGGTACTTAAAATTATGAGAAACAATATTTTTTAATTTAAAATTCGACAAAATTATAACGACAAAACTAGAAACTTAAAACATTAAGAATACTTGGTAGTTTTTTTTAGTCTTTAAATGTTACAATACCTTTAACGTCAGGTTATAGGTACGTAGTTATTTATCCAAAGAGGTTTCAAACATATTATTATCTATAGTTATGGAGGAATAAAGTTGTTATACCTTACCCCATGTACTCATCTTGTCCCGGGTTCCCCTATTATGTGCATTATAAGTAATGAATGAAGTGAAGATGATCCACAACAATAGGTTATACCTATATTCACTTAAAAATATTTGTACATTATTCTAAAAATCGTATTTAGGCTTAACTAGTAATCTTACAAGTGTTCGAAGATTGAAGTTGTATAATAATTAATAATTATATATAATCGATTTATACAATATGCTAAGAACATAGTCATTCTAAATAACGCCAATATTACGATAGCAGAAGCGTTTGAATAACTGTCGATGTCTACAACAGTAACCTGGGAATGATATTACATATAGCCATATGGGTCAGTGAGGGCGATCTATTGTAAGCATGCTAAAGGTTGCCAAATTTTAACAGCTCACTAAAATATTTTTATTTTGTTGTTAAATCATGCATTTAATGAAAACTAGTGACAAATAAGTTCTTTATTTTTTTTAAAAATAATATTGCTTTAATTAATGTTTAAAAATATTCAAAATTCAGAACTCATTCCTAGGTTATATAATATGTTTTAATTTTTTATTATTATATAATATATATTTTAATTGTTTAATACTTATACAGTTGACACCTGGTGATAGCCATTTCCATGCATGTGTAACATATGTGTAAGTTTCATTTTAGCAAAAAAAAAAAATCGAAAGTATAAGTCTTAACTATAAAAGAGATGAAAAATCGTGTTTCAAGCGCCGTTTGTGTTACTTAGATTTTAAAGGAGAAGGATAGCGTATTGCGACTTTTCAAACTGGACTTGACAACTTTTTAAAAACGTTTTGCACTCTTTGAACATTAAAAATATAAATTATATAATTATAAATATTTTTGAAAAGTCTGAAAATTAAATTTTCTGTCCAGGTGTGAGTGAGTGACAAAATATAGTAGGTAGGTCGTAGGTATGTCGTGTACGGTAAACTCCAGAACGGGTAATCGCGACCATATTTCCCGTCGTTGCGTCCGGTCATAGTAGGTCTGGGGACAGAAACGACGATTATTATGCGGTTAGAGACTATAGTAAATATGGAGAGAGCCGTGAGCTGCAGGTGACCGCATGTCCTCACACATGCACGAGGACTGCAGCAGTGGCTGTTGTTTTGAACATTTAAATCGAGTATCGACATTGGACATTCAGTACCAGAACCTAGGTATTGCAGTAAATAGGTATATAATGCTCAATGTTTTTTATTGCTATTAAACGGTATACACCAAAGGCCGGGGTGGTCGCTCACAGCAACATCGACGTATCGTTTGAAATTGTGTTGGTTTCTATAGAAACTCTTCTATACTCGTGAGCCACACGGCCCACGCGCCACTGACGCGTCGGCGGCAGCGGGCGAAACAAAGTAATATATTTTTATTTTTGTGTCGAATCTTATTTGTGTTTTTGTTGGCCAATAAACGTGGTAAAAGGACGTGCGGGAAGGATGGTTTTCTGTTTCAAATAGATGTTTGTTTAAATGTTTGTGATAATAAATTCGAGGTTTGGTCCGTATACATACATTTGAGGTCATTATATAATCAGCCATCAGGTGGTTCTTCTTCGCGCAGTTAGTTGTGATAGATTTTTTTCCTAGCCAGTAGGTAGTCACTAGTCGATCAATTTAATAATAACAGTCATTAGTCGTCATGAGATGGTGCACGTCGCACGATGCATCTAAGGTTTAGTGTATAGTATAGCACACGTTTTGATTAGAAATTCGTCATATTTAGAATAAGAAAGAATTCCACAAAAAAAAAAATAATAAATAAATTCTAAAAACATATTTTGAAACGAATAAGCTGAAGTAAAATATCAATGTGATACTTTTAAAGTTAAACACATTTTGTATTGAAAAGTATACACACGTTTTTGTAAATATTCTTTTTAAATCATTTTAAATCATTACAAAACCACATTTAAGAAAAAAATAATTATAATTTTCTGGTACTCCTCAAAATGTTAAACCATTGCTCATCTAAAATTTAAAATATAGAAACTATTGTAACTAAAGAAAACTAATAAGTTACCTAACAACTCGGTAGAAATTCAATTTTCATAAATGTATGTTATATTGAAGAGCTCCGAAAGACATTTTGATTTGGAATTTAAAATAAAATGTATCCAGCTATTAAAGCACTGATAAAATAAAATGAAAACAATAATCTTTTTTTTTCAAAATTGTTTTGTGATATTTTAAATTGTGTAAAAAAAATATTTCTATTAATCTTAATAATTTTCTCGAAAATGAGTGCTTACTTTTAAAATAAATGTTAATTATAGCAGTTGGTATAATGGATTACAGTTTTTGTGAGTTTACTGGTGAGCTGTAATGGGGCAATGGGCAGACAATTGAGAAACATATTATATTATACAAAATTACCTATAACACGGCTATACCGCTACACCTTATAGGTTATGAAAATATGTTCAATATAGCTTAAATTAATTGAATGTGATATATATAGTACCTATACTGACAGAGAGTATTCACATGTTAGTCCAGTAGACATAATATAAATATATATTTATAAGTCTATCAGTTTATGGTTACTGGTTAGTCCCCGTCAATCATTGATTTTAAATTAATAAAATATGTATGATTTTGGAGAATTATTATTGTATATTTAGAGTCACAATATGACTATAATTTATTGTATTTTTTGATTTACCATTATATACATATCTAATAATATCTAAATCAAAATGTTTGTTTTCGTTCTTATTAAAAATCTTTTATAAAAAAAGAAGCGACTGTATTGAGATTATATTTCAAAAGATGAATTATTAATTTCTGTCAGGCACTGTTGTCTATTAGTTGTATAACTCATATAAGTTTTAAAGTTTGGACAGGTCCTGGCGAGGTTAGGAATATATACATTATACATAATAAATAATTTGGCAGGTCACAGAGGGGCGAAGGACGAGGACAAACATTGTAATATACACCCTACATAGTTCCACGTAAACGTAATAGTATAATATAAAGTATCAAAAATAAGTATATATAACTATTAATTACCTAAAGAATCATTATTATACAGAGCGTAATCATACATAGTATTCACATTATTTGCAACCCAATTATGCAATTATTTAAAAACTGCTGATCAATTTGATATTATTTCTAAAATACTTGTCTTCTACACTTGGAAATTATAGAGTTTAAACTTATATATAATATTACATTATTGTATATAATATTATATTGGCGGTACATTTAGATTAAAAGTATAATTTTTATTTTATATTTTACAATATACCTACCAGTTTTACTAAAATGTGTATACGACGTTGGCGCCATGTCGATGCCGAGTATACCTACTTATATTATAGTATAGGAATTACGTTTAAATTGGTTTCTCAATGATGCCTTGGGTAATCGGCGGGTCAAAAATTTGTATAGGATCAATAACTCTAATGGCAGGCTGTCAGGTTTTTGAAGAGTTGTTCCTTACATTACGTATGGGTACATCGCAGTTGAAGTCGCTCTTTCAAGGGATACGTTACATGTATTATTATTATTATTATTATTAATATTATTATTATTTCGTGATCAAAAACGTCTGTATTTCATTGTTACACTAAATTTCAAGGTATTATTACGAGCAAACCTATTATTCGGCGGTGTTTTTAAATATATTTATTGGATCAAAGTAAAAAATATAATAAACCGCGCCTGCGATATATTTACTTCATAATTGTGTTGAGTTTTTTCTTTATTTCAAATTGATACAGATTTTTTATCATTAAAAACACTAAGAACATTTACAGAAATGTCCAGTACAAATTATAACAAAAAAATGAATCAAATGCTGTTGACAGTATTTACCATTTACTAATTATAGTACTATAGCGAATATTTTTTATAATATATATACAGTTGTAGACATATTACATGGTATATTATTTAATATAAATAAACAATTGTAAAACACATTTTTGTAGTAAAAATTAAAAATTTCCTGTGAGAAAATAACAATATTGATGAATATTCAACACTATATTTATAGTTGCAGCACAATACTCATTATAATCACACCACTTATGAACAATGATATAATCTGAAATTAAATTTAGGAAATTATTTTTCAAAAGAATTGGTAGTTGTGGTGAAAAAAATCAATAATAGAATTTTGGACATTTATGTGGTTAAGATAACTAGGTACTGCAGATAGGTGACGAGTGGATATTTATTGCACTTATTTTTAACAATAGTCAGTTAGATACATTATATCATAATGATATGTGTATCCAAAATAAATATGTTTTGTTTTAATAAAAGTTATGTGATATAAGTATATAACATAAAAGGAATATGTATCTATGAAATAAACGTTGAGACAATCACTATTGAAATTTATATATTATTGATGAAATTTTTATTTTAATCAAAATAATTTTTGGACATAATTTGATACTTGCCAATATAAGTAAGCATCTTTTTCAAAATTAAATTTTTTTAGGTATTTTGGAACTTATCCCATTAGGGCCCTGTATCTTGTATTTAGTTTTAATGATTTGCTTCAAAGCAAAAAGGTTAATTGATTAATCAAAAATTGTTCGTTAATTAAATAATTGTTTTAATTATACATAATTATACACAATACATGTTTAATAATTATACATAAGATTATGTTTAATATGGAATATTAAGTATAAGATACAATATACATATGTATATATTTTAGTATAATATAATATATAATATATATTTAGTATAACTTTTTGATGAATATAGCCCGATTATAGGTGTATAGTATGTAGTATAGGTCAATGATTCAATTATGAAGTCTCCACATGATTATACCTATGAGAAATATTTAAATACCTACATATAAATTATAAATGATGTATTTATTAAAGGATACAACTTCCGCGAATGTACAGTTTTCTGGTATAGTGACATGTTTAAAATCCTGCACTTGATTTCTAGAAATGTGTTCACGGACAGTACACATTTGTAATGGTATAGTAGACGGTATAAAATCATCCCAATTCATATTTTGTTCATTTTCCCATCCAAGATCACATTCGCAAAAATCGGTATGGTTGTTCAAATATCCATTGCGACAACGAATTTTCTAAAATGTATAGAAAGTATTTGGCTTAATTGAATTTTAAACTATAGTTAATTTTAATGATTTTATACTTGGTTAGAATGAATTTCGTCGAATGCTTGGAACTGTTCATCAGTCTTATTGTTATCTATTCTATACAATACTTCTTGAATGTCTTCATGAGTAATGGTATGATTTAGATCTACACATTGGTTGTTAGACCACATATAGGCCTATATGTACACGGTTCTTAAATTAGTTTTTATATTTATTATTTCTAAATCAGTTTAATGAAATATATTTGTCTAATGAACATACTCAAGTACTAAGTAATCGCAATAGTACCTAAGTATTTACATACAACATCCTTATATATATATTATAAACATGTAGTGATTTAAATATGTTGTAGGTATAAAAAAACACTCAACCATTACTAAAAAAAAATAACAAATGTGCCCTATAAAAGTAAAGACAAATTATTTTTGACTGAATAATTTAATTTAATACTTATTTGTGTTTTTAATTAATGATCTCTCTCTCTTTTTGAATAACCATATATTATTTACATATTAACGTCATCCAATCATTTAATAAAAGTAAATCCATTAGTCAATATAATATAGAATTTATAGTTTATATTATACCATTGGTGGTGACTGATCAGTAAGTTGAGTATAGGCATTTAAATTTTGAATTAAATTTTAATAAATAAATAAATAGAATTTTTTTGCAGAAAAAGCACTAATAAGTTAGAAAATAATGAGAGTATAATAAATATGCCGCATTAACAAAACATCTTATAACAAGTATTAAAATAATATAGGTTGTATTTTGGCATTTTTTTTTTATAGATTCCTTATATTGCAAATAGGATTTTTTTTAACTTGCATGTTATTATTCAACTAAACATTAGAAATGCAAGAAGTCCCTATAACTAAACAAATATTAGCTGTAAAAATAAAACTACATTATTCGGATGGACAATAAAGTGAAAAAACAATATCGACCACAGCTAAGTCATCTTTATATGTGATTATATATATATACTCCTTATATGTATATTATCTATATAATATAAAAATAAAACAAATAAAACAATGCAAATCCTATAACATAAAAAATTAATATCTATCTTAACAAATTAATAGTAAATAATTTATTTACGTGATCACTATTATTTTTCGATCGGCATTCCGGAATTCGTACACATTTTTGATTTGTTGTACTAAAAAATCCTCGATATCCAGAATATTTCATATGACAATTTACAATGTTACAATAATCTAAATGGTCCTTATCAGGAAATTCACATTTTAAATTATGATGATTCCCTAAATGATTTAATATAATATTAGTTAATTTTACAACTCATACCAATAATATATTAATACATTAAATTAATTAATGATATTATAATACACAAATATAAAATGAAACCACATTAAGTAAAATCATTGAATATATTTTTTTTTGTTATTAGAAAAAAATTAATTACTTAGGTAGGTGTATACTTATTTGTTATTGTTTGGTGTCTATACACCATACAATATTATATAAAATTACTTTTCGATATTTCGAAATTCATATTATATTAGATAAATATATATACTTATCAGTATAGTCAATCAGCTGTGTTATTAAACTCGATTGGATAGTTTATAATGAAATTCAACAGATCGCGTGATCACAATAACTAAGTGACAAATGTAATTATTGTACGAACGGGGAAAATTTCAGACTCGACGTCTGTAAACTTAATTCTATACATCTTTAGATTTTACTATGTATAGAATTACTGTAACCAATGTAACCTTATTATTATTATTGATATTTGTCGATTAAATTGGATACGGTATGTATTTCAAGACGTCAATCACCTGCGTATTACAATTTACAAAATAACCGTATACAACAATAATTATATAGCTAAAATCCATTTTATAGTTTAATTTCAAAAAAGTTGAACTAGCTAGAGGGGAAAAATGTATTTCTGCTTAAATTAAAATCCCTGTCACAAACATTATGCATATACTCGTACAGTTTATACCACGTGAATGTTTATATTTAAAAAAACTAAAACGTCACATGTGTGTATATAGATTAGTAATTTGTAGGCAGCAGGCAAATATAATAATAGTTAAAACATAAATGCGTATTTATACGTATTTTGTGCTATTATTACTTACATAATTCAACGGCTAATACTCATTAAAGTGTTTTTGTCCTTAACAAAAAAACTCTATTGCATTATTTTAAATATACCTACATATTTTACAAGGTAAGACCTACAATGTTTCAGAACATTTTTATATGATGTCCTACTTTGAGATATAAATTAAAAATAATACGTATTAATCAGTTTGTGGTACCATATTTGAAAATATTTATGTCATTTGATTTAATTTTGAATGGATTATAAAAATGTATGCATCATTTATTTTATATTAATCGATGTGCACGAAACTATTTAAATTATTTTAAAATTAATAATAAATTGGACAACATTATATAAACTATAAATAAAAATACAATACAATAAAGTCACTTTATTAAAGTGAACAAAATTGGCACCATATCATAGGCGCACATTCAGTCATAACTTGGGAGTGCTAAAATATTTTACTCCAAAGTGACCTTTCTGGGATTTGCACCCTCCCTCCCTATACGGCTTTTCAAAATAAAATTCGAATTTCAAATAAAATTATAAATAACTACGTTAAAAAAATCGAAGTAGTGAATCTGATTTTCAATAAACAATTTTTTTTGACTGATATATTATAACCAATTATTTTAAGGACTATTACATTCTTCGATGAACAAGCGATGCAATCATGGTCATCCACATTTTCACTACTTTCATCATTTTTGTTTTGTTCAATTTAAATATGCCAAACATATTTAAACAGGAAATATATGTCAGTGGCATTAGTGCGTTACCAATATAAACTGGAATAAACTCATTCTTATAAACGCACAATTATACACTTTAAACAATATTTTTAACTCAAAATAATCTGGGAGTGCTAATTAAGGACTTAGTGGTGTAACCATCCCCTTAAGTGCGCCAGTGCACCATAGACGAGATTGATCCTTTATTTAAATTTGTGTACAATTATTATAATTCCTAATATTATGTTAAGTAAATGAATACATCATATATGTACATACATACATACTATACCTAGGTACTTATTTTTAAAAGTACTTCCGGTTAATAATATTTATATAAAGTCGAACATCTACCTTAAACATAATTTAAATTTAAATTTATACCCAACGTTTATGTAGGTATGATATATGCTTATACAGTCATGATACCGTCATATTGTCCTGTCATACTAAATAACTGTAGTGTATAAAAGTATACATTTAAGTTACCTCATAGTCAACTAGAAAATAGTAAATACCTTGTGTTACTGATGTATCAAAATCAATCTTTTGAATGACTGTAGATTCCACATGTTCATGACTGTTAGATATTATACTGACACGAATGTCACATTCTCCTTGGCGATTGTATGAATACTGTCGAAAAAAGATTCAATTATTAAAGAAAAGAAATATATTTCGTCAGACACATTGATCGATTTGCTAAGTAATATACAATTAACACGAAAAAGTTGCTATTCTTTTTCCCTAAACTATAATTATTTACTATCAATATGAGTTGAATATACCGTAAACCATGTGTTATAGTTGATTACCTATGTCCTATATTATTAAATAAAAAAATAGTTTAATATTTTGTTATAGAACAAATAATTACAAAATAATTGTTGTATTATTATAATAATATTAATTTGATTTATGTATTTATGCTTGTATACATTATATATTTAAGTTACACCTTTATGAAGCTTATAAGCCTATAATATAGTATTTATGATTCTAGTTGATGAATAACTTAACAGACAGTGTGAATCATGTTTCATGTGATTATTAGAATACGAGTATATACCTAGGATTCGTGACTACATATATAATTATTATTTGGTGTCTAAATTTAAATTGAATATTCCATAAATCTGTGAACATAAAAATAAAATATATTTATATGTATAAAATGATAGAAATAAGTACAAATTGCAAGCAGTTTCTTGAATTTCTTATAATATTAGTGCTAATTAGTAAGAATTATAATTTAAAATTTATTTCCATTGACATCTCAGTGTAGCTGATTTGTATGACTGTAAATTATCCTTAAAATAATTAGGCCCAATAGCCTATTAATATACAATCCAAAAGGCAAAAATATAATATTCCTCACATAAAACCACTCAATTCTTTTAAACAACAAAAATACCAATCAATTCGTTCACCACAAATACTCTCCTCACCGTTCGTGTCAATGCTAACGGATTAAGATCCATGTCAATATAGTTATTACAACTGTTTCAACAATGGATAACAAGCTGATCAATCAGTTTAAACTTAAAAAACAGAGGGCCAAATATAAAAATAAAAGTGGCCAAAAAAAGCATGTATTTTTACATCTTTCGTATCATAATGTTGATTTATTTTACAACCTAAAATATTGTGGTATGTGGCCGACATTGAACATTGTTGTTGGCCCAAATTTGGCCTATCACTGGTCGAAAGTAATAAGTATATGCAATTCTAAAAAAAATACCAATACTTATGTTAAGTAATTTCATTTTGAAAAGTTTTAAATATAATATTAGATAGGTACTAGGTATTGTATATATATAATATATACCTAACTGCGTGGCTTCATATTTACATTAAGTTGGTATTTACATATTACAGCAGCAATGTGAAGGGAAATTCCCTGAAGGTTTTTTTTACTAGTTGCCAATGGTAACGTTATAAACTACAATAAAAAATAAGGCATTAACATTGGAGTGTGTCATAAATATACCTAGGTACACATATACAAAATTACTGGGGGAGATATTAGATAAGTCTAATTTAAACATTTTTATTTTATAACTATACGTTATATAATTTCAACTTGACTACTAATGCAAATATTAAATAAAATAGTATGATATTTAGTTTTATCTATAATTATATGCACGGTATATATGATATTAGATTATATTGTTACAATTTGTAGCTTATTTTAACTCATTAAAACAAAGGTTTTTGTTTGTTTTTAAAAATTAAAAATGTAGCAGTTACTCTTTGTACATCATACAAACTAACAATATAATTATACAGTGTATGATAAATTTTAAAAAAATATTCAATTTAACTATATAGATAATATTATTATAGAAAAAATAATATGAATAGGTATACGTGGTACAGTGGTACACTCGACACTTTTATATCATACTATAATAATATATTTTTTTTTATGTACCATGTTTTTTTTTTTAGTAAAAAAAACAATTATTACAATCTATATATTATAATCAAACATCATACTCATGTTTGAGTTACAACTTTTTAAATATTTATTTTAAAACGTTTAAGAACGTTTGTTATTATCATACAATATAAATATATACCTATACGATGAATAATTGATACTTAATTATCCATACTAGGTAATTAGTAAGCATAAGATATAATATTATTGTGCAATAATAAACGATTTAACATTATTCTGTACAATTATACATTAGATACTATATGAAAATCAAAAATATATAAACGGAAATTTCACTGTACAAAATAATAACTACTTATGAATACCTATATTGAATATTGAATAATGATGTAAATATGTAATAATTGGTAAATGACGGATATACCAATTTTTAAGCGATGATACTAAATAACAATAATTTTCTTTGCGACTACAAATGTATACTGTATTCATAATATTAGAATTGTTGGCAATAGTCATTAGCAAGGCATAGTATGAAGTGGCCGAAAATTAATTTTAATTCATTTACGGCATAGATCAATTAAGCACATATTATATAGGCACCTACTTGGCTATACATATATAGTCTTTATACTCTATGTCTCTAACTATTATCCCAAGTAGCAATCAAATTGTTTTAATAATTGATTAAAAAATAACTTATAAACTTTTTTCAAACATTTAAAAATATTTTTTTGCTACTTGGGATAGGACATAATACATAAATATATATTATAAGTAATAGCGAGGTGTAATACATAAACCCATATTATAATCTGATTACATGGTGGTTATAAAAATAAGTAAAACGTATTTTTTTTAAAGCAATATTATAAATTGTGATAAGGTAAAAAATAACAGGAGAAGTCAGTCTGGAATTGCGTAGAAGGTATATCGAGCGTACATCGTCATTAAGTAGGTCATTACTCATTTATATTTGGTAGTAGGTACTATAAGTAATTTATTTTTCTTTGAGTTATAAGGTAGGTTGAACTAATTTTTTCCAACAACATCGAACTTATTATATTACTAATTATTATTACTATTTTACACTATGAAAAAAAATAACAGTATTGTTATTAATTTCCTTATTCAAAAAACATAATTAATTTACGATTAAATGTTATCCAAAAACGTCAAAACTTGAAATTAAAAGTAGTTAAAATACTACGTTGAGACAATTTTTTTGCAATAAATGAATTGCTATTAGAATTGACCCAGAAACAAAATTCTATCAACAGAATAAATAAAAAATGTTTGGTAAAAATAGTTCCTACACTTTCTCTATGAATAAATTGTTTTTCTCTTTATTGAAAACAAAATCGATTTTGTCAAAACGTGTGGTGTAAATATTTCCATTTTCCCACTTTTTATATTAGTTTTTCCCGATCATTTAAAAAAAGGTGGACAAATGAGTACCACTCTGCTGTACATTAGGTGTCAATCGGGTCACTAATGGTTGTGTTAAAATTGAATTCAATGATATTATTATTTATTAATGTAAAATCATTGTATACGAAAGACGATTCCGTGTGAAGAAGGTCGTATTAAAATTAATATATTCATTGCTCAGCTCAGAATCTGAAAGGCCAAATGTGATAATATGCAGGTGATATAGGTAAAATTTATGAATTCTAAGTATTTCTGATGGTTTACATAAATGCAAGTAAGTTAATTGTAAATTCTTCCTGAATTCCAGGCACCATACGTGCTTGACTGCATTTATAATATACCTATCTGATATTTCCAACAGTATATTTTTAATTTGAACTACATGATATTATATAAAGATATTTATATAATTATATGATGTATAATTAAGACATATTTTAATATAATACGTAAGCTGATAATAATATAAGACGGACGTAGGTAACAATCTGTTACATCAGAATACTACAATAGTATATAATATTATTTTCATAAATTATAACTATTTGCTTGTAAATAAATACAGTAAATATTATTATTTTGATTATTAAGAATTAAATTAATACTTGGTTTGTCGGTAGGACCTGCTACGTCCTCTCTAACTATTACAAAAATTACCCTTAAAAGGTACATCACGTTTATGACAAATTAATATTAAAACAATTTAACAATCAATACTAAACAAAAGAGTTTATTATACTGTGCGTTGATTGCATTTTTATTAAATTTTGGTTTTATTTTTTTCAAGGTATTCTACCATTTATACTTTTTTTAAAAATCGTTCATAATTTTTACTTTTCATAAACATGTGGTTTTAATCAAAATTTAAACAAAAATATTTTAATTCTGTGGAGTATGGTCGTATGGATTAGGTACATTATAGTGCGGACAATCGTGTGAATAATAAAATTATTATTCAAGAGGACGTCGTCAAAAACAAAAAAAAACGATAAATACATGTGTACCTATTATATTATACCCACCTATGTATTATATCTATATTTTATATTTATATATATAATATATATATACTATATTTATATACATATACATGGGTTGTGGGTACATTCTATTCGTTGTTAAAGGAATGAAAACATTTTCTCACCATCGGAATTCGTGATAGTAGTTTTATTTTTACTTTAGGGCAAAATCTTGTGTATTATTGTTTTACGTATACGAAAATTACGATGAATTAATTTTGGATTTCCGTTCGAAACTTTTGTAATATGCGCAGTCGCTATTAAATATAATATCATACATATACATAGGTATACACGACTACGGCGGCGGCAGAGGTTAGTTATTTTTCCCACATCGATTGCCCGAATGTATATACATATATTATATGTGTGTGTGTGTGTGTGTGTGTGTGTGTGTGTGTGTGTGTAAGTATGTATGTATATATGTATGTATGTATGTATGTATGTAAGTATATTTATATGTATGTGCAATGTGTGTATATCTATATGATAAACATAAAGGAGTACGTCCGGTTCTTTCATTATTACCTACACTTTTTTTCTTATTATTTTTCCTATTCAATATAAATTATTAACATGGCGGCCGTCAAATAATTGCTTCACGTCAATTACGACATAACCGGGCTAGGTTATGTAGTCCCGACGTCGATATTGTTATTATCATCGTCATCGTCGTCATCATCAACATCATCGCCGCAGTCGTTATTATCATCGTCATCATAACGCATACACAATGCACCCGAGGAAACAATACAACCGGTTGCTGCGGTTTCATTGGATGGTGAAAGGTCACGCCCAATGAACTCTAGCCGTTTTCCAGTTTTCACGTCGCGTTAAGGACGAAATGGACAGGGCCGCATAGACCGCTGGACCAGAGCGAAATGAGTTGTATATACATGTATAAATGGATATTGTACAATAATTGATAATATTTTAGGTACTAGCGTGCAATTTAAAAATGTTATTAAATGATACCGTACGTTGAAGAGTCATAAAAAAAAAATTAAGAAAAGAAATCTTTGATGAACCTTATTATATTATTATACCTACCTATTAAATGAAATACTCAAACATAAGCTGCATGTTAAAAAGTATTTTATTTCAAAATGAGATGGTAAATAATATGTATATTACAGTAGTTGTGTGTTGATATTTTAGTGTTCAGTGCTGCAGTGACTTCATTATTATTTTCTTTTATTAACACCAATATAAATTTGGTTACAGATTTAGATGCATTTGCTTATAAAGCATTTTATATTGGCACATCTATAGTTATTAGTTGTACACATATATTAATAATAATCTATGTGATGCGATGCAACAATAAATGACATTTAACCTCTATAACATTATATTGATCGAATTTCTAAATACCTACTAAATACCTACTTGATTCCTAATAAACTGGAATAAAACTAACCTATGGGTTGGTTCATATATATATAATATTATGATCATAATATACCTTTTTATGTTATTAAATGTAATGTAAGTGGTTATACGTACGTCATAATTTAAATAACTTACAATATTCAGATACGGAAGTGTTATATTTTTAGAACGTTGTGCTGCCAAATCTAAGCCGCTTCCAATTAGTTGAAGATGCTGGAATGTTATAAGCAATTCACTGTAATACCCAAATATAGGTAGGTAAAATAAAATTAAATAAATAAAACTTAAAAGACATAATATTACAGTTATTTAACTATATAATGTTAAACAGCCATTTAAAGTTTAAACAATGGTTATTAGCCATTACTTTGAAATTAAATACAAGTTATAACTAAAACTCAGGTATCATAGTTTACAAGAAGCCTATAAAAAAATAAATAAATTAAAACTTAAATCAAATGACAATAATATTTAAATAAAAATCGATGATCATCATACTATAATGTATTTTAACACAATTGTTATAAATAACAGTTCTGTGACTGTACTAATAAGTAATTAGTAATTCATAACTACATTTTTGTTTTCAAATCTACTGTTATTCCACTATACATTTTGGTATAAGTATTGAAAAATAATGTTTTTATTCTATACAGAAATGGATACCTACTTACTACTTACCCACTATTTTTACCGTAAACCTACTATGGTATTTATTATAATACAGTTATAAAGTAATATGTTATATGTATATAGGTTAATCGTTAAAATAATACTAATATAACTATAACATATTGTATTTATGTTATAGTCTATACTCTACAATTGAACCAAATTAAAATATATATTAAAATACATTTTAGAATTTTAGATTATATAAACAAAGCAAATTATAGATAACAATGTAATTTTTTTTCAGGGGAGAAATATATAATACCTATATAAGATATAAGTATCTACTTTAGTACTATCTATAAAAACATATATACAATAAGTAAGTACATTATAATTGAGGTTGTGAGTTAAAGTGAAAAAAACTACTCATATGAAGTATGATTAAGAAGTCGGTAATTATCCATGATACTCATTGTACTCACTATATATATATAGGTAGGTACTGATATTTGACTTGAAATTAAAATATATCAATAGGTGCCTTTTTTAAGTTCTCAACGAAGATTGCCAATGAGTGATAGTATATAATATAGTATAATTTACGAATATATTTATTAAATATGGTAAAACCTATAGATAGGTATTCAAATAATCAAATATAATAAAATATATTGTATTTTATTAATAAGATAGTCAAAACCCTCTTAGCTGAATACAATATAAATGAAAAAAACACACGTCCATTTAAATTGATTTAATAATATAATATCTAAGTTTGACGAGCCATATTTAAAAATACGTATAGGTCAATATACTATACAATTTTATATAGGTTAATCAATAATAAATTACCCAATTTTCGAGTAAGGCAAGTTTCGTATTCGTATAAGAGGTTGCATGCAAAAACCTCACACTTATGATTTCGAACTCGAACCTAAAAAGGTCGGCAGACAAAAGCTACACACTTTATCTTGGTTCGTTGCATAGCAAAATATCACACATTATTATTAGTCGCAAATAACAGAATAGATAAGATAATAAGATACTGCAGTACAATAGTTAATAATCATGCTAATAACAAGTATGTGATTTTAGCGTTTTCATATAAATATAATGGATATTAAAATTATTGATAGTAATAAAGGGGGAAAGTGTTTTTGAAAAAATATGAATAATAAATCAAACATCATTATAAAGTGTGCGATTTTTGTATACAACAATTTTAAAAAATGTGTGGTTTCTTCTTGTATTTTATTACTGCAAGCGTATGGTTTTTGGAATCAACGGTATATGACATAGTCATAGCATAAATAAATAATATTGTCAATTAATAAATGGATAAGTAGCCAGTAGATAGATACGTAATGCATTATTAGTGTTAAGTACCTACATAAGTAATACTTAAGTATTATACGGATTGGTTTTCATCAGAAATGTTTTGATCAAATATTTATAATATGTTTATATTTTTATTATATATAGGGCAAAGACAACAGAATAGCATACAATTACTTTTATATTAATATGTGTGCATGAATAATGGATGGTATATTCAGGGGGTTGGTTTTCCGGGTTCACACCCTCGTCGTCGATTTTTTTTAGTATACCCATGTAGGTTGCACACATTTATTATTACTTTTTTGTTCATAAAACCACTATATAAAATCACTCCACCCTTTAAAGTTATTATATTGGATACGAGTATACGACTATAGGTATGTGTGTGAGTGTGACACTGTGTGCTAAATTAAATATTTTAATACGTACGTCGCAATCAATATCAGTATCGTCGATATGTTCACAGCATTTTATCATATCTGCCACCACAGTTACAGGGCGGTAGCCAAAATTTGTCAATGTTATGTCTGCGCAATATATAATGCAGTGATTAGAATAGTAGACAATTGTTACGAGATAAAAAATATTTTACAGTTTTCAGTTTATATACGTGCAAAACATATTATTTTATCATCTGCAGGCGTCTTTTTGACATACTGTAATGTATAGTATTTCAATTTTTTTTGTCGGGATTCATTGCAATTATACGTACCGAGAAACAAAGTCTGATTTAATTATAGTTTTCATTCAACGGTAAATAAACGCGGGATAAGCGCAACACACTGCAGTTCGTCGCTGTGATGTATACCTACTGCAAACAGGTATTCGCAGAGGTATACGTATCACATCGGACAATTCTAGGGGAAACGATAAATTTAGAAAAAAAACCGAGTGTCATACACACACTCACACACCCTTCACAGTATTATGTATACTGCACTTACCAATGTAATATATACTCACACACACACACACACACACACACACACACACACACACACACACACACACACCTATAACCGACGGACAAAAAGAACGTATACGTCGTTGTTACTATTATGTGACTGAAACGAGACTGGGTGTACGCTGTGTATATATACGTGCAATGTGTATGGTATAAACAGTGCATTGTTTATGTTGACAACATGCGAAAATGAACACGCGTCCGTAATGCAGTTGATCACGCGAACCCCCTCGTATGTACAATAATACGTAGTTAATATATATACCTATACTCTGGTCGAATATATATATATATGTATATATAAGAGTAATAATTGTATACACATACATACGTGCGTGTGTGTGTGTGAAAACAAAAATGATACAAAAATGTATACATATAATGTGTATAATATATATATATATAATATATATACGTAAATACAAAACGACTAGAGAGTCTTTCGCCTTTAGCGGCGCGCGTTCGCAACAAGGAGCCCAGCCTCGGACCACCCCGCCACTGCCATGCCGCGTCGACCGGAAACTTCAATCAAAACCACACTATACGTATTATTATATAGGTAGGCAGTATTATTATTGTTATATAAATGTATTTTAGATAATAATATCGTCATATATAATAATATGTACGTATATAACAACATTATATAGATTACTTGCGCGGGCACTGTCGTCGATCGACACGGGTAGTCGAGTTTCCGAAAACGAGCGCGTGGATGTTATTGTGCAAGTGGTGAAGTGGTTGTCTCCGTCGTCCTTTTATACATATAAATATATATATAAGTACGAATCCGCTACTTGCTGCACAAGATAATATTATGATTAAAGGGTACCGCCGTGCGTGTGATAATGATACAGCAGCTGTGTGCCTGTGTGTGAGTGTGCTGTCTACATGCATGTCTTGTATGAGGTAATAACGCGGAAAATGTGTTGCTGATTTATAAAACACAAATATATCCTACAATAGGTACCTATGTAATGTAGTATATTATAAATTATAATATAAATAATACAGCCATAAAGCTGGCACAATAGACACTTAATCAATAAAAATCTATTGATCACAATATTACATATTTTATATTGTATACACCTAAAACACCTGGTTCCACTTACACATGAAAAAAATATGAATACATACATGATATCATGTATTTATATTAAAATCTTAAATCTGTATAAAACAATTCAACAATTAAACTGCTGCACTTTATAATTCATATATAAATTACGTGTGATCAAGAAAATAGTAAAATAATAACTAGGTAGTCGTTGTATAAACATGTATGATGTGTCCTTCACGATATCAATAAACAATATATTATTTTAAGGTCATTATTATTATATTTTATTAAGTTTTTTCAATATGATTAAGTAGACTTACAAAATATTATGGCGAAATCCCCTTCCTTCCAGGGAATTACACCAGAATCCTGAGAATGTAATGATGTCCTGATAATGTAATTTAAGGATATATACAATATAAATAATAAAATTGAAACGTTGTATTATTTACCATTATTTTGACATCATTTTCTACAAAAACAATAAAGAACACGATAAGGACGAAAACCAATATTAATGGCATTTTATAATTAATTATCACATATTATGATCTTGAAAACAAAATAAATTTAACATCTTATTTGCTAAAACAAATATCTTTATTATATTACAATTTTCGGACTTTCGTGATGTTGTTTACATTCAAAATAAAAGCCTAACAACGGATTCGTATAGTATCATATACACCCATAACTTATAAATATAATCAAAAAAATCGTTAAATACTTAATATATTTTTAAAAAAATATGAAAAGAAGAAAATTAAGTTTTATCAATTACAATTTACTATATTAGTTTACGTATTAATTAATTAATTATGTTATGTATTAACTATTAAATATTATAATATTATATATTGTCGACATGTTAACTCAGATTCAATATGCTATATTATTTGGCTACTTTTTGCCTCAGTTGCTAGCCTCTGCCTGGTTAGTCTTCTACTTAAAACTCTGTGATAAACTTTTCATCAAACGTATAATGCCCATATGGCATAATTATATACGACAGACTAACAGACATACTCAATATTTGTTGTGACTTGTGAAGTACCTACTGAAAGGTGATTTTATAAAATAAAAAGAATAAAACAAAGCAGGTAGGAATTATTGAAAAACATAATATGATCAAATGTAATTATTGACGTATTTAAAATAAATGTGTAAATTACCTGAATGGCTCGATGATCATTATTTATACGATAAGTGTCAAATCTTTAAATTATCAAATCAGGTATTTAAAATTGTAAATAATTCTGAATTTTTTTTTTATTATTATTAATTAGAATTTAGGAATATCAAATAATTTGTATAAAATGATGATTTTAGTAAAAACACTAGCTGCAGTAATATGGTTGTTGTAATATGTCTATAATATGTACATCGATTATGCCTGTAATAATAACATAGGGGTTATGGCCTATGAGCGACGTCTATCTTACAAACTAGTTTTATATTGATAGGAAGATAATAATAATGTATAGGTACCTACGTAATTTTTTATTTTTATTATTATTATTATTTTTTTTTTTTTTGAAGCGAAGGAAGTGATATAGCGTGACTGAAATGCGATTGAAAAATAAATAGGGAAAATATTGTCGGAATAAATGAGATAAAATTATAGAAAAATACAACACAAAAATCGAAGGCCAACCGATGTTGGACGATTATAATACCAATCCCAAGCCTGTAATTACGTATTGGAGCCCTGGGGATTCTGCCCCTTCACCCAAGTACCACAGTCTCAATTATGCCGATTGTTGTAAAGACTGCATATACGTGTGATGGATCAAAAAAAATGTTATAAGGATGTGAATTGTAACCAGAGGCTAATTTAAAATCTGATTATAAGAAAGTTTTTTTTTATTATTTGTAGATATATCAACGGATTTTAAGTAAAGCTAAACATAGGTATGATATGGGAAATCGGCGAAAATCTTACTTATTAGTTATAAGTTACTTATGCAATTTTCTAACTTCTTATATAGATTATAACCATAAGTTACCACAAGTAATCAAAGAATTTTATTTATATCTATATAATGTATATATATTATACAATCAATATTAAAACAGATTTTTTCATCTTATAAATATACTGAGTTTTTAAAAGATAAATACGGCCTGGATACAATGATCTAGTGTTTGACACTCCACACTTGCCTCACTTCTCCCACCTTAGCATAGGATAGTTTAAGCAGTTTAGTGTATGGTTAGTAATCTATTTATGAATAACTTCATACTTTATTGCTAACAATAGTAACATTTCTCAAAAAGAAATGTTGGGTAGTTGTCGGTAGTTTTTCCTCACATAGTCACATTATTAGGAAAACTAATAATAGGGAACTACATGTTATTAAATGTACTTACTACTCTAATTTTCTTCCAATTAATCTAAATATATGTGATTACTTACATGACATTTTTAAAACATTTAGTATTGTGATTGTAGGAAAAGTGCTGTAGGTACTCTACATGTTTATATATTAAACATATACCATTAACTAACAAATACCATCACTGTCTTCATCCACTTATATATGGTATGCTAGTATTGACTTATAAGAAGTTAACAATAATTTAATAATTTACGATTTATAATATTGTAATATAATAATTATTATTATGTAATGTATACATACGAATACGATTACTTTGTCTAAAATTAGTTCAACCTTCCATACATTACTAATGGAAAAATATATTGTCGCAATTACTAATATAAATAAATTATAAAATATTGTAACATTGGTTACATCCTATACATATAAATTATACACAAAACACACATACTATAGAATTGCCCAATGTACAATACAAAATATACACACTCAACACTTTTCTACCCGTACACATTATTATAATTTATAGTAATTAAAATGACACACGACGGCAGTTCGGAAACATTCATCAACAGGAACGAACTCACCTACCAACAGCCATCTGAAATCCATATGTTTAGTAAAGTATTATTTTAATATTATAATTAATAAAGAACTTTAAACCAAACGTCTCTGATTGTTATTGATAAAATAATACCTCATACACAGCTTTAACTCCCAGCTACGGAAAACTTATCTATAAGGAATAGAAAACCTTCTTTGGATAACTATTATTGTAACAAGGTTCCCCTGACCACGTTACAATATCTTTAGAAATTGAGGTAGCAGGACTCCCAGCTAGAATAGAAAACATGGATTTATTATTTAAATCAAATATTCAACACGGGCACTGCAGTGAACTCATTGGCCGTGAGGTACGTATATACACTTGAAACCTACTAAATAAACGTATTCCTGGGTTGTTAAAGGTTAATACACCAAAATATTACAACCTTCAAGGCTCATTCAGTATCAATACAATTATTGCATTATATGAATACTGTATAGACTATAGATCAATATAATAATCTGTATGGATACTACAACTACAGTACAGATAAACCGAATAACACATACCTATTACCTATTAAATAAATCTAAAATATTCAAGTGTTATAAGTTATAACTGATTATAGGTCTTAAAATATTATTGGACATTATAATGAGTATAGGTATTATAATTTATATAGGTAGTCGTACGAACAAGGATAATAATTAATGAGTATTGTACCAATAATTTTTAATGTTTTAGATATTGTGTTGTAATATGTGAAGATTTTACTAGCCAAAATAATTTATTCCAATTTCTGGCAACTACCTATACTTATATGGTTTTTATACATTTTTTTTTTATTGATTTATTTAGTAACTTCGACTACAAGGCCATTATGGTGTGAATATATTTTCATAAATCTAGAAACAGTTTTAATACTTTTAATTTATTTTTCAATGAAATAGAAATAAGGGTAAATTAATTATTTGTGTAACCCCAATTTACTACCCTGGTAAAATAATCATAACGAAGTATAATAATAGTAA